CCAAATTGTCAACATCCTTTGTGTTTAAGTGGACCACAATACCGATGATTGACCAGATCTAGACATGCAGTCGTGTGCTGATAAACGATATTGGATTGCTTGACAACTTTGATCCCAAATATTTTTGTTTTTGTTAAAATTTTTCATAGTTTTCCTCTATGCACAAATTTAGGGGGAAAATTAAAAAAAAAAATCAAAAATCAAACAAAAAAATCAGAAAAATTAAAAATCCAAAAATAGTGTTATTTCTGTTTTATTTTTTTGTTCAGAAAATCAAAAATCCAAAAATATTTTTGTTTCCGTTTTGTGTGCTAACTTTTCTTTTTAGTTTTGTTTGTCTTGAAAGTGAATTCAGATGTAGATGAAACTCATGGAGACTGAATCGAAAATTTCTGAGCCAAGGCTTCATCCGTGAGCATTGAAGAATTCTCATTCGAAGAAGCAAGAAATGAAGATTATTCTTTCAACATTCAATCCTTCAACCCCAGAAGCAAAGTCAAGCTGTTCTTGAAGATTATATGACAGATTGCATTGAAGCCTCCTCAATCAGTCTGCTGCTATCTATGAACCTGTTGAAGTGATCCATAAGTTTCGTTCTCTATTCTCTCTGAAGATTCTCAAGCTGAAAGCGCCATCTTTCAAGAATCTTTTCAAGAAGCCTCCTCATCCAACGTGCGTTCAATGCCAAATTCTGAAGAAAAGCCCAACCGCTCAAGATGAAGTCATTCATTGAAGATTCATATGTTCATCTTGAAGGCATGAAGATATCGAAGATTAAAGCTGAAGCCAAAGTTCCCAATGAAGATTAACAAGAAAAGTCAGCTACTTTTTAGGGGGAGTTTGTTGGGTCAGTTAGAAAAGAAAGCTATAAACCAAGGGGGAGATTGTTGGGTCAATATATTGGTTTATACTTTGCTTTTCTAGGAAAATATATTTTTATGTAATGTTGTATGTGTTTGCGGTTTGTGTGTACGACCGTACACGAGTGTACGGCCATACACCCGTGTACGGCCCATATCTCATAACACACACACACACACACACATATATATATATATATATATATATATATATATATATATATATATAGGGTGAGGAGTGTGTAGATGAGGGTAAGGCTGAGAGGCTAGAGAAGGAGAGCATATTGTAGAGAGAGAAACTAGAGAGAAGAATAGTGTGTGTGAGAGAATCTTGTGTAAGGAGCATCATTCATATCTTCAATACATTCAAGATTCAAGTTATTCTTCTTCTCCTTCTCTTCTATTTTGATCTGGCATCATCTGTTTGATTGGGATTCCACACCATTAAACGGATCTGATTGATACACAAGCAGATTGGGGACTTACAGGAAATCAACACTCTAACACAATATCTCACCCAATAGATATTGTCCTTGGTTTACGAGCCTTTCCCAAAATATGGTTTGAAAATATGATAATATAGGGTCTTATATATAAAAATATAAGTTTGGAGTGTTTAAAATTATAAAAATAAAAGTCTGAGGGAATTTCCGGAGCAAAAATCACTTAAAAACACTAAAAAGTCCGAAATTGGTAAAAATCCAGAGTGAAGGGGGTGAAATCCAGAGTCACAACAGAATTTCCGGAGCTCCTTTAAGCATTCGGAGCTAATACCAAATTTATGGAGGAGAGGATTAGGCTGCGAGGGTCCGAAACGGGTAAACAGGGAATTCCGGAGGCGCTGGGCGAGGTCCGAAGCTTTCTTCTCGGATCCGAGGTCAGGAGCGAAATTCGTCCGGTTCAGCTTGGTGGTCCGATTCGCCCCACATGTTCCGGAGTCAGTAGGAGGTTCCGAAGCAGGAGGATAGTCCGGACTAAGGGGGTTCCGGACCAAGGGGTTCCGGACCAAGAGGGTTCCGGACCAAGAGGGTCCTTTTGGGCTGTTTTCGACTAAGGAAGGAACATAGAGAGATTTGGGAGAGATTTCACATACTTGGAGAGATTTGGGAGAGATTTCACATACTTAGAGAGATTTGGGAGAGATTTCACATACTTGGAGAGATTTCTCATACTTACAGAGATTTGGGAGAGATTTCACATACTTGGAGAGATTTGGGAGAGATTTCACATACTTAGAGAGATTTGGGAGAGATTTCACATACTTAGAGAGATTTGGGAGAGATTTCACATACTTGGAGAGATTTGGGAGAGATTTGGATATAATAGGATAGATTTAGAGAGACTTTGTCGGGGGCCTTTATTAATGTTTTTCTTCGTAGATCAAAGGTCGTAGGCTTAGTTACATCCCATTTTGAGTGTTATACGCCCCCGAAGGGTACATAATGGTGTTTTATAGAGTTGTTACTTCCCTCAAACTGATTAGGGTTTAGGATTTTGAACATTTGAAACTTTCAAGTGTTACTTTGCATTAAGATTTAGAGTCATACATTAGAAGACATAAGGTAATCCCTAACATATTGGCACTAGTTGAGTTGACCAGTTGACTTGTTGACTTTCTTGACTTTGACTTGACCAGAAAGTGACGGTTGTCACAAAGGTTGTGTGTGGTACTTTGTGGAAACTCACTAAGCTTTGGCTTACAATTTGATTGTTGTGGTTTCAGGTACTTCAGAGGAAAGGGGCAAGGCGAAGGCTTGATCGTGCACATCCTTCGGATTTTATGAGATTTGATTTTCGGAAACTCTAATATATGATTTTGACATTTGAGAATTATATTTTGTAAACATTTATGGTTGTGGGTTGGTTTTGAAATTGAAAATTTTTACCTCTATTTTTGGGATGTTACATTGTAAGTGTTCAAGGCTCCACCTTTTTGATAATAGATTGCTAGACCTTGAGTTTTGTCCCACTTTCTTTTAGATCTTATTAGTTGGGATGGTGAGATTTCATAAAAAGGTTGCAACTTTATGAGTCTTTGGATCATTTGGAGTAATTAATGGTTTGGATCTGAAGTTTGGTTGGTTCTTGGAACCATGTATAAGATTTTGGTCATAATCCCCATTTTGACCTAATATGAGTCCAAAACATGCATTGGACATGCATGTCTAAAAAGCACCGACCTTTAAGTTGGTTTTGGTGTTATAAGCTACTCTGGAGTGAATGGGTTAATGGCTTAAGGGATTAAGTGCTTCTTGGTTGAGCCCATGCCATGTTTTTGCCTTTTTGACCTAAGACTTGAGATCTAGACCTCTTGGAGAGTCTTAAGGGATAAAGTTGGAAACTTTATCCACCTACACTATAATAATGACCAAATTTGAGATTTAGAACATTTGGAATCGAAGGATTCTGCTTAACCCATTAAGATGTTTTGAACCTAATGCCCACAGCGTGGCCCTAGGTTCCCACGATGTGGCGACTCGGTGAAATCGCGTCTGTTTTGTCGTTTAAGGGCCACGACGTGGCCAAGGATGGCCACGACACGGAGAGCAAACTTTAACCATCGACCTTGACCGTTGACTTTTGATCAAACCCCAAGTTTTGGAAGGAAAGCTAAGGGTGTAACTTGTATGGACGTACAGGTGGTGTATAGCATATGTACTCTCGACAGTAGGAGTGGTAGCAGTTGAGCATTGTCTGATAGGTGAGTTTCTTCATTGTACTTGTGGGTCGAAGGCACCACTGTCGGCCCACTGTATTATGTTTGTAGGATGGTAGTTGTCTTTGTGAAATTTGTTGACATGTTTGTAGGTGCCTGTTGTCTTTGTGACTCTTGCTTTTATGACTATATGCTTAGTTGTATGGGGTGAAATAGACCCATACCGATTGAAAGATACTGAGGGAGTCGAAAGGGATTCAGGGAGTCGGAAGGGACTCAGGGATGAAATAGACTCGTTACAGTTTTAGACTGATATGTATGTATGGTATGCGGTATTTTGGGGAACTCACTAGGTTTGTGCTTACGGTTTCATGTTTTATGGTTTCAGGTACTTATGGTACGAGAGGGAAGAGCCCAGTGTGACTGCATAGCATCCCCCAACGTTTTCCGCATTGATTATTTACGACTTTTACTCTGATGTTTAAATGATATAATCACTTTGGTTTGTTTTGAAACAACTCATTTGTATGGTTTAAGTGCTTTTAAAATGAAAATTTTTCTATGAATTTTTGGGACGTTACAGTTTCTATTAGGTGTTTTTTGATTGTTTGGATTGTTGAAAGTCATCTTGAAAGTTTTTGAAAAAAAATATGGTGAGTGATAAAGAAATTTTAGAGTGGTTTGGTTAAAAAAATGATAGGCTATATATAGGAAAAAATATTTAAATAAATAAATAAATAAATAAAATAAAATAAAATAATAGACTATATAGCTAGACTGCATCCAAGACCGTATAGGGGCCGGTGTTTCCTGCCACGGTGGAAAAAGACGCGGCCAAATCAAGCCTTACCACTCCCAAGTCCCACCATCTGAGTCCATAGAAATTTTCTCTGCTATGTAATATACACGTCAAAATTTATTTATTTTAGATAAAAACCAAATTTCTATTTTAATAAATGAATAGTTTTAATCTCTTTTTGTCAAGTGTCACTCTAATACAACTTCTCATTAATATTATGTCATGTGTCATGTAGATATATTAGACAACTCATTTCAAAATTCAAATTTATATTTTCTAATTATATGTTAAATTTGAAGTTATAATAATTTTACAAATTTGATATATCTCTTAATTAATAATTTATTTAAAATGACTTATTTAAAATAATTGATTAATAATTATAAATTATTATTATAAAAATTTAATTAATTTTATAAGCATGGTTCCTTAGTAAAAATGATATAAAAGTAATGCTATATTCTTTAAAGAGTTTAGGGGTGTTTGACTTATCTTTTTGGGAGATAAAAGTCATTTTGTTAAAAGTTACAAAAAATTAAGATTTCTTGACTTTTTCAAAAAGTCAGTTTTTTTATATAGAAAATCTAAAAGTTGTTTTTAAAATGTTTTTACCAAATTTTATCTTTTCTAAAAAAAAACTTTTGTGCTATCAAAACAAGCAAAACACCCTAGATATAAAATAAAATAAAAAATCGATTTAACGAACACCTCTGGTTGTAGGAAAACCAGTCGGTGTGGAAAATCGGGGATGACGGCGGCGTTGAACGCTGTAATGAACGGCGGATTAACAGGTGGTGGTGCAGTCGCGGCCCAAAAGACGGTGCTGATAACAGGCGTCAGCAGAGGTTTAGGCAAAGCCCTAGCCGTAGAAATCGCGAAGAGAGGCCATTCCGTCATTGGCTGCTCTCGTTCTCAAGAGAAACTCGATTCTCTCCAATCGGAGCTCTGTTCTGGACCTTCTTCTTCTTCCTCCTCCTCTGAAAAACACCTATTCTTGAACGCTGATGTGGTTCGTCTTCTCTGTTACATACAACTCATACGAATTTGCATTTTCACTGTGCTCATGGACACTGATTAGTGTCTAAGGTCCAGAAGTTCCTCTTTTTACGCTCCAAATTAAACCTGGAAATTCTTCATGAGGAGTTAGGACAGATGTTGTGAAATCAATGTTCATTTCCAGAGTTCAGTAAGGATGCATGTAACGCTGAGGGGAAAATCTAGGGTTTACACTGGATTTTCACTTTGGGATAAATAAATTTCACTAATTGGACTCAAATTTAGAGAAGTAACTGGAAAAAAAAAAACGATATCAACTATGCTTAAATTTCTATAAGTTCAAATCACTTTGTCGGATGTTGATGATTATCTTTCTCTGTTTCTTTTCAGTGCTCAAATAGCGGAGTTCAAGAGCTTGCACGAGTTGTGATGGAGAAGAAAGGTGTTCCTGATATAATTGGTAATGAAATATTGAAATCTTCAATCGCCATTGTTCCAATTGAATTCTGATTACCATCTTTAACTAATAGAAGCGTATTTGCAGTAAATAATGCAGGCACCATTAACAAAAACAACAGACTATGGGAGGTTCCAGAAGAGGAATTCAATGCTGTGATAGATACTAATCTGAAAGGAATAGCAAATATGTTGCGCCACTTCATTCCTCTTATGATTGAGAAAAAACAAGGGATTCTTGTTAATATGTCGTCTGGGTGGGGAAGATCTGCTGCAGCACAGGTAAAATGTTTGTATACATAAAGTCTGTTTCTTTTCTAGACCGAATAAACCAATCGGACTAAATGACCATTTTATCCTTGAATTCCAAAAACAAGATTCACAATATTCATCAATTTTAACATGAGAGGAGTTTGTAGGAAAAGAGTTAGTGTCTCAAGACATTAAGTCGGGTTTTTTTTTTTTTTTATAATGATAAAGGCATTTACGTCTTTTTGCAACAGGTAGCCCCTTATTGTGCTTCAAAATGGGCGGTTGAAGGGTTGACCAAGTCAGTGGCAAAAGAGCTGCCAGCTGGCATGGCAATTGTTGCACTTAATCCAGGGGTAATAAACACTGAGATGCTTCAATCTTGCTTTGGTAGTTCCTCTGGCATGTATCAGGCACCTGATTCATGGTAAGTTTTTATTTATTTATTTATTTTTTTTTTGGAAAATTACAGCATGTTGCTATATCTTGCATTGGTGTGAAAAAAAATGTTTTGTTAATTATGTGATTGATTGTATTTGTGTTGTAATTTGTTGATGACAGGGCTCCAAAGGCAGCTGATATGATATTAAATCTTACAGTGGCTGATAATGGTGCTTCTCTTTCAGTATAAATATATGTCAACTTTATAAATTAATATAGATAAGCATAGCTGTTTTACTTTTATTAAGGACCAGATTATTAATTTTTTTAACTTTGGTTTAAGATCCTTCTAATTTAGCTCTTCTCTCTATCCAGTTTTTGTTTTTTCTCTTCAATTTTCTTTATGTTTTTTTTATGAGATCATCTCCAATGGTAGTTTTTTAAAAGCTTTTTACTATTTGAAAAAGCTTACCATTGGAGAAGAAGACTAAACACTTATTTTCCCTAACCTTTTATTTGTCTTTTAGGCTCTGTCACATTTGATATTTATACACCAACTATATTTAGATATTAGATTTATTTTAGGCTTTGTATTTACTTAATTAATTAATTGATTTAATAAGCAAAATAAAAATTATGCAGTTACATAATCTTTTATCGTTTTTTCATTATAATGTTGAATAATGTTTTTTTTTAATTTTTAATAATAATGTCATGTAAGGTTTTTTTTTCTCCGAAAATACTACATATGTTGGTAAAATTATAGGTTGTATGAGTGGATTTAATAGAACATTTAAGATAGATAAAAAGATAAATTGATTAACTTTTGAGAAAAGCTTTTTAAAAGGTTCACCATTGAAAAGATTGTTTGATAAAAGTTTTTTGCCAAATAAAATATCAAAAATTAATAATATGACAAAAGTAAAAAAGCTTTTGTTTAATCGCTGAGATGGCATTATATTTCTAAATGGGTTTATATGCTTTCATAAACAAAAATATCATTTTGTCCCGCGTTTTGTATTTTCTATCAACTTCGTGTATTATTTTACTAATAATCATAATGATACTATAGATAAATTAAGACTGAAAAATTGGGGCAAAAGAGTCTTTTTGCATACCCTTACCACTTTACCAGTTCTCAAATATGGAACAGAATACATAAACTTGATAAAGGTCCACCATTGGATATAAGGTTTTTAGCACTGTAACCAAGGTTCTAAATAACGTAAGGCGTGACTTGGCGGCAATGTCAAGCCTCAAGCTTTTCCGAGCCTTGGCGAACCACGTTGTTTGTAAGGCGTGACTCAAGGCGGCAATTTTGTATATAGTTCATATTTTATATGTATTTTCAACTATTATTCATTTTTATACACATATATGAGTCAAGGCGGCGTTTTAGTAAAGCTTGGCGGCACATACAAGCCTTGGAGCCATGACGCGCCATGACGGAGCCATGACGAGCTTTTTAGAACCTTGACTCTAACACAACAAAGTTTGATGAATTTATACATTTAATCACTCAAGTATTTTTTTGTGCTCAATTGATCCTTAACGTTAGGAAGTACCAACTAATTAAGGGTTTGGGGTAAATTGTATCCGGTTTACGAGTGACATGCTGACGTGGCTTGACATATGTGGGTTCATTTTTTGCACTGTACCAAAATTAAGTTTTGCGAATTTACATATTTAATCACTCAAGTAACCGGCTGTTGTTGTGGTTGTTGTTGTATCAAGACATATAATTGTGTAATTGATAGATAAAATTCAACTTTAATGGTTTATTAGACACAAAAAAAAAATATTTTAGTGACTAAATGTGTAAATTTGTCAAACTTTGTTGTGCTACAACGCGAAAAACCCTTGGACATATGCTTGAGTTTTAATATTATTATTAGAAAAAGAACAATTTTAATTTAGATGAAGATTATAACTTATAAGGGTGGAGGGATCTACCATTCGACACACATGTCATTTAGACGTCATATTAGCTTTTATGTCTTTTTTTACTTTCATCTTTTGTGGTACCGTATGTCGGGGAGTGGTGTTCTCAAAGGTACCGGCGATACCTCATCCAACTTTCGCATCTTCTCTCTCTCTCTCTCTCTCTCTCTCTCTCTTAAAAGAGTGTCATGCCAGTTTGGACCGACTCGAAGGCGGTATAGCCGCTACATGACACCGAAAAACCTTTGGAGGAGCGGCTTCTCCAACCCCATGAGCCCTCTCTCTCTCTCTCTCTCTCTTAAAAGAGTGTCATGCCAGTTTGGACCGGCTCGAAGGCGGTATAGCTGCTACATGACACCGAAAAACCGTTGGAGGAGCGGCTTCTCCAACCCCATGAGCCCTCTCCCTCTCTCTCTCTCTCTCTCTCTCTCTCTCTCTCTCTCTCTCTTTGACCAACGGTCATTTTTATTTTTATTTTTATTTTTACCAACTTTATCATGCCACTTCAAAAACTACATTTTCTCTCCAATTTCATTCTATGTTTATTCCAATCCAACTTTTTATATTCCATTTTAAAAGGATTCTAGTCGTGGAAATCCAAAAAATGGTCCAAACCAAGACACAATCATCGAAATGAAACGGAAACAATTCACAAGATTTATCATGTTCCATTTCCGCCCAAATCACAAATTATCTCCAATACGCACTATATCAACAACAATATTCGTCAACTTATCATGCAACATTTTAGTACAACAAATTTGGTTATCTCAAGATCATCCCGATTTTAATCCTTTACTATAATATCCACATTCAATTACTGAAACCTAATTTCAATATTTCACTCCCGAAGCATCGCAATTCGTGATGCTCAAAAAATGACGAATCCAAAGAATCAAGAGACGAATTATCACCCGTCCCTCAAACCGAAAACGTTGAATTAAGCGAATAACCCCAGCCCTCAAGAAGTTATAACCAACATCAAAAGTATAAAAAATGGTTCGTAAAAGGAAGAAGCGGCATTGACAAAGGCTTAGATCGAGGTTTCAGAAGGACAAGAAGTGGATATCACCAAAGATCATAATCTTTTTGGGAGTGAGTTCTAGAAAACTTCAAACAACAACAGGGTTCGGATCGTTCTAGACATCAAGTGAACTCCAAATGGAAAGATCTGAAGGCGAAGGTTAACAATTTCAACTGCATCTACAACCAAAAGTTGAATAAGCGTAGACAGAAGAGCAAAGTTCGATATTTTAAATTTGACACAATGTGAGTATCACAAACTCTTTAAACATAAAGTTTTTTCCACACGAGGGGAATAGGAGATTTTAAAATTACACGTGAAATGGTTAACCGTTGAATTAATATGTGAGAATGCCCCTCCTCTATACAAACGGACAAAAACATGTCTCCAACACGTACACAACCTCTTCGGATGCACAATTTTCATCTGAATTCAACGCAGAGAATTAAGCGTTGTTGAAACACCGCAACTGAGCCAACGAAAATGGAAGAAAACGACATCCACATCCTCGCAAACTCCCAAAATAACAGAACTGGTCATTGAAATCGCTGGCCTCGCCTATACAAACAAAGGACAAAAAACCATTCTGAGCTGATAAATTGCATATTATAGAATCTACCGAGCAAAAGAAAAAGAAAATGGCACTATTATGGTACGATTTGACATGGTTCAAGGAAAAACAAGAGCAAAAGAAAGCTGATAAGGAAAAACAAGAGGAAAATATATGGTTCTTTCTTCAACCACATGACCATTTGACTGAAGTGGTCAGGAGTGCAATGCTCGCTCGCAAGCATCCGTCAAATTGGAACGATTTGTGGTTGGCAGTTGTAGGATTTCATTTTAAGATTTTACTAATCGTTTTAGGAAATGTTTTTACTTATCATGGGTTGAGATGATGGAAGTGAGATTGTGAGAGGAAAGAAAAAAAGAATCACGACGCCTAAGAGCTTCTGGAACCAAATTTTATTTTTATACTCTTACCTTTGGAGTGAAATAGAATATAGAGTAGTTCATCTCCAATCCCACTCTTAATTCTACATTACACTCTAAAAATAAAAAACTAAATGTGTTGGAGATGTTATAATTTACGTTAAGCCTAGTGTAATTAAAATTCAAGCATAACAAACATTTCTCAGCATTAATAATAATAATAATAATAATTCCAAAAGAACAGCTACGTGACAGAATCCGTTTCTCAAAATTATGAGCATTACATGTATGAGGCCAGGCCTGCCTTACGTTTATGTTTATGTATAAAAAAACAAAAACAAACGAAAAACAAACACACACACACACATGACACCTCAATCCAGAAACTAATACATGATAAACCAAAGTACAAAACAATCTTCCTTGTGTCTGTCTGTCTGTCAGTCATATATCTACAAAACACGTGTACCAACTCTACAAAACATACCAATACCAAAACAACAATTGCCTCCAATTTCAATTTCAATTTCATTTTTTTTAACTAATATTCAAAAGCTAAAACCTATAACCAGAGCTGGAGCCGGAGCCAGGTGGCGCTGGTGGCAACCGGTTCGGGGTACGGCGGCTACCGGAGTTCGACCCAGAGTCAACATCACCGTTCTGGCTTGGGTCACTGTTCCTGCGACTGTGACCATTGGACCCGAACCTGGACAGGTCAGTGGGCCCATTGGCAGCAGAATCAAAAGCAGATCTCCAGTCATCACCTGTCGATGGCCCACTGGTTCTTGGACTCTCTGAATAAATCATGTTCAAAAAATATTACTACACAAATAAAAAAATAAATAAATAAGTACATGCATATATCTGTTTGGTTATTACCTGCAGGACTACCATTTGACATGTTGGAGGCTGCAGCAGCTCGGTTGTCATGAATGCTGAGTTGTCTGGTGAGTTTGGAGAGGAGAGAGGATTGCTTTTGAATTTTCTCCCTTTTGCGCTTCACGTTTCCATCTTCTTGAAGAAGCTCTTCTATCCTTGGTGTAGTCTGCGAGCTATTATTAACCAACAAAAATTTCAATCCATTTACGTCTTTTTATTCTTTTATACACATGTCATACCTTTTTGGGTGGGACAGAAAATTGCAACTTTTGTCCCATCCACATGTCCTACCTGACATCTGTCCACCATTTTGGGCGGGGTAATATTTGTCCCATTGACATGAGTCAAATGGTGGTCAAACACACTACAACTTGTTGCAAATAGAGGAGGAGCTAACCTTATGGAACTGTAGAGCTTATTGAGCATGTCTTCTTTGGCTTTTTCTACTTGGCAAAGAACAACTGCCTGCACAAAAACCAAAAAAAAAAAAAAAAAAAAAAAAAAAAGATAAATTAATTGAGAGACCATGGAAGTAGAGATGTAGAGGATGATTGATTACCTTTGGGACATTTGCTGCAAGGCTGTTCAAAACAGCTTCAACATAACCGCGTACTTCCTGAGCCATCCAACGAAGTTCTTCCTCTGGATCTGCTGGTTTTCTCACCATTGAATCCTAAAATTTAACAACTACTCAGTTAAATAGCAACCAACTTTCATTTCTGTTTTATTACAGCATTGTAGTTCCAATTTTTTTCTCATTAAGACATTGTACTTTGCAAAATCTACCCAGTTATGATGCTATAATTGGTAGATTTTTCAAAAGTACAAATGAAAGAACGATGCATTAATAAACAAATACATTGCTATTTGTTGATAAAATTCTAACTCACAAGAGAACCCTCTGATTGACTATGGCGAATGGGAGGACCATCAGCTTTCATAATCACTTGACCACCTTTGGCTCCAACAACAACTCTTAATTTGTTTAACCACTCAACTTTTTCTGCAACATTCTCAGCCTTTAACACAACAGCACTGTGAGCTGTGATGTGGAATCATTTAAACTTGAGGTTAGCATAAGTAAAATCCTATTTTTTTTTAAATTAAAAATAAAATAAAATTGTGGAATGGATCACCTTTTAAAACAGTTTTGTATGCAACCTTGCTTGTTATCTTGAATGCTAGGCTGGGTGCCTTTTCTTCCACCACCTTTGATTTTTTATCCTTCTTGGATGGGGCTGGGGGTTCTTCCTCTTCCATTTCTTCTATATTGCATTCCTGAAATATCACAGGTTGAATGAGGGCATTTTTGGAATTTAACATAATGTGAAATTCAACCGTGTTATAATTGCTCATAAGTCATGCCAAATGTAATATCATTACTTAACAAGCACAGTTATCTGTTAAATAATCCGGAGAGACAGTTCTATAAATCGAGGGTTAAATGGAAGAAATAACAACATACTTTCTTGGATTTGTTTATTATTTATAGCATCTTACTTTGCATATCTTCCTATTACATCGTTGTATTGTGAAAATCTACCCAAGAATATCAAAGTTATTTAAATACAAAACAATTTTTGTTGCCATAATAGGCTTCTGTTTTTTTTTAAGTGTGAAGTCTTGGTAAGAAAAAAAAGGTTTCAAGTATAAATAGGTAAAACTTTTATACTAGAATGCCTTAATAAGAAAACAAATGAAAGTAGAATGCATAATGGATAGAAATGGAAGTTAGATGCTATAACACGCAAATAAAAATGAAAGTACATTGCTATTTCTTGGTAGCCCTAAAATCTTAGCAAGTTTTGAAATATAATTATATAACAAGCAAAAAAATTAAGGGTTAAAGTGAATATTACGTTCGAAACCACTGATTCAAATTTCAAAGTGTCTTTCATATTTGATCTTTTTTTTGGTATGGACTCGATGTGGAATAAAGATTATAAAACTATTTAAAATATAAATATTAATTCTCGGACTATGAATGCTAATACATACCTCCAAAGTAATCACCCCACGGAAATTTCTCTCTTCTTGTTTTTTAGTGTATCCAAGCTGCAAAAAAAAAGGTCTAAAGATCAAACCATATCCAATAGAAAGCATCTTGAAACCAATTACAAATCATAGTTCGTTTAAAGTATAAAATATATATATAAGTAACATTCCAAAACAAGAATTTATAATTGGAAGTAGTGCACGTGCTTCAAATTTTCAAAAAATCCCGGTCGAATATTACAGGAATTGTAAAATTTCACCGAGTGATTTAACAATTAAAAAAAACATATAATCTTTGGTACACAATAAATTTCTACTAAAATTCCCATATCATATTACTAACCTTCCCAGTTTTCTCATTTAAAACAAACCACTTTCTACTCCATCCATTAGATTTTGCACTTTTCTTCAACAAATATCCTGTCCACATAGAGCACAAAAGTTACAGATATAACAGTGACATGTCCAATAACTTTTCAAAGAAAACCAACGGCACACATCCATAGAAAAAGAAAAAATATTAGATCTTTGTTGTCAATTTTAAGCATCTTTATCTCAATTTCATTATGATGAAACAAAAAAACACACCCAAACATTATTAGGGTAGATATTATTTGTCATATATAAAAAAATGGAATACACTGAAGCTATGGTTAAAGTAGCTTCAAATACAACAAACCTGCTGTTATCTCCCCCTCAGGTCCTGCAGTCTTTAAGGCGGGCCCCTCTTGTGCATCCTTGTCTTGCTTGCCATCCTTCATTGATTTTAAGTTGCCTCCTGTTTGAGGACTAGTTGCCTAAATAAAAACATAAAAAAAATAGACAGATCTAATAAGTACACAAAAACCCCACAAAATGTGTATTGCCAAAAAAAACATTTTGTGAAAATTAAGGATCCAAAAATGCTTACCCTATTTAGTAAGGACTGTTCAGCATCCACAGCCTTCTTGGAAGATCTGTTCTTGATCTCTTCTTCTCGTCGCTGTCTATCCATCCTGTTAAGAAATTGAAAAAAGAAAGTATATTCAACATAAGATATCATTTTCATTCACGCCATTGTTGAGTATAATGTATACTGTTAATAAAATATAATAAAATAATCCTTCGCACAAAACATAAAAGTGAGAGTACAATGCTGTAATTGAGTGTCGTTTTCAAGATACAATGTCTTAATAAACAAAACTGAAAATACAAAGTTGTAACGGAAAGTCATAGAAGTAAGATGCTATAATACAAAAAATAATAAAATAAAAAGATTATGAAAAATGTTGAGCATACCTTCTCTGGACCAAACGAATGAAATGCTGAGGTGGAACAAAAACCCTCTCCATGTCAACAAGTGCAACCACCATCTTCTTTGCATCATTCTTAAAACCCTCCAAAGCAGTAGTAGCAATTGCAATAACCTAATTAAACAATAGATAAATAAATTATATTTAAAAAGGCAAATGCCAAAACTAAGAAAATTATGAGCACCTCTCTCTTAAAAGGAGGATATCTTCCAAGCCCAGGTGTGGCATTTGCTGATGCAGAAACTATATCCACAAGCACACGATGAACCTGTAATCATTGAAACAGATTACATAGTGGCATAAATGTAATTATGAGAAAAGAAAAGGGTAAAAAATGTTATTACCTCGTCAACACAAAGACGTGATGGCTCTTTGGCAAGCTCTAATACTATTTTTATTAAAGATCGCAGTCCTTTTTCAGGAGATATAAGATAAGGTTGATAACCATCTGCCTCCAACACAATCTGATACAACCAATTCCATTGTCATCATACAGGAATATAAGATAATGATTGATTAATGAAATTAAAAATTTAATAAGATATATTTCATACCCTTTTGACATTATTTATATCAAAATGTTTGTCTAGAGGAAGTTGCTTGATCCTATTAGGAAAGTTACCCTCAAAACTTGCCACCACTTTCCAGCCACTACCCTGAAAAATATATATATACACACAATGACACAAATTAGCTGATTTTCATATTTACTTTTATATATGTAAATACAATGTAAAACTTTAACTCTGGTCTATACATTATTTAAATTGTAATTAAAAAATACTTATTTACCAAGAGTAAACATAATAAAAGCACATTTTTAGTCAGTAGAAGTTACTTAAACAAAACTAGGTTATATTGAAAATTTTCATTCCACTCCAGACTAAGGAATGAAAATTAACAAAATGGAAGGAATCAAATTCCTTCAAGAACGGTTCATTCCATTCCGATGGGCAAAAAAAACAGATTTTCTTAATTACAATGGAATGAACCATTCCAATCGTTACTCGATTCCTTAATATCAAACACTACCTAAGTTTTGATTTGAATAATTCAGTTGAAGTATACTCCAAGATCTTGATTATAAATTATTTATTTATTACCTCTCCAGTCATAATGTGTTGAAGAAACTTGTCTTCAAATTCACGACAAAGTTCCAAAGCCAAAGCCCGTGTACCTTCAGAACTACTAACCATTGATTCTCCAAGCCTTACCAATTCATCTTGCACAATTTGCGATTTACTCTGAAGCCTGCACGTGTTTTAAGACAGAAAGTTCACTTAAAGGCCTAATACAGAAGTACAAAGCATGGTATCTAAGTAAAAAAGGAAACTGTTGCTAATTATTATGTCCGTATCAAATTATCAAAAGCAACAATAAAGAAATTGATGTAATATCTAGAAACAACGGTAGTGTTTAGTAAGATGGAATTTTGGAAGGAATGGAATGGTTCATTCCATTGAGAAAAAAAAAACCTGTTTGTTTTGTCTGATTGAATGAAATGGACTAGAACACATTTTTATTTATGTAATTTTCATGACATCATTATCTTAAAAGTTTCACGATTTTTATTTACATTGCAATTTCCTTTTCTAAAGTTAACTAGAAAAAAAATCGAATTATAATCTTATTTGGGTTTTAATGAGCTTTTATTCTGTTAAATTTTTTTATTGTTAGAAATAAATAATTCATAAATTATATTTAAATGATGTATAATCAATTGTGTATGAATATTTGTTTATTATTTTAGTGGCATACTACTCGACAAGACGATAACCCAATTTTTTTTTGCTGTCGCATGTTAAGTACTAGACACAAACTGTATTTAAATTCTTGAACTAATAGAGAACCGACAGAACTGAAATAGAAAAGAGAGTAAATTACAAAAATGGACCCTGTGTTTTCTGATTTTTACCATTTATAGTCCAAAGTTGAATACTTTTTTCAATTTTGGTCCTTATTTCAAGGTTTCATATCGCTTTTGGTCCCTGTAAAATCGATACAAAACTTTGAAACAAGAACCAAAACAGAAAAAAGACTTCAACTTTGGACTAAACACGGTAAAAACCAGATAACATGGGGATCCTTTTTGAAAATTACTCTAAAAAATATCTTACCCTGTTAAAAGATTTGGAAGCCTGATCTTCATACGGCTACGGATTTGATGAGCTAATGTCTCAACCAAAGCTAATCTACCAAGCTTGCTCTGAGGGGCTCCAGTCAATATAGATTTCAAGCTTTCACTTTCAGCCCTCCAAGCAGTTTCTAATGAGTTATCAGAACCCACACTTCCAGATTGTGCTGAAGCAATGGAAACTGATTGACCAATGAGAGCAACCCATGGAATATCAGCTGCACTTCTTGGCCCTTGACCCAATAAAAGTGCTTGAGCTGCAGCAAGAACTTTGGGATCTGCAGATGCTTGGTCTACTTTGCTAATAACACCAATCGTTCTTGTACCTTATATCAAACAAAAAAAATCACTTTCCGTTTAAACATAACAAAACCAAAAGGTTTTTTTTACCACTTAGAAAAGCTTTTATAAAGCGCTCTATTGACTTTTTTATAAAAAGAAATCAACAGCTTACTGCAGATTGACCGCTTATTGCATTTGTTTATTTATTTTCATTTTACCTGGTTCACCATATTAAAATTTTATTGCTTCATAGTTTGTTTGATTAATTAATCTATTTTATTAGGTATGCAAAATGAAAATGAACATTTTACTAAATATACGAGATCTTTACTATTTTTTGACTAATTAATCCAATTTACCATATATACAAATTAAATAAACATTTCCATAAAAAATACAAAACCTCTATCAATTTTTTGACCAATTAATCTATTTTATTACACATACAAAATAAGAATAAACATTTGATTAGATATACACTAATACAAGGTAAAAATTAATCTATTTTAACTATACCCCCCTAATCATATTATATTTAGACCTACATTTTCAAATATCATGCATGTAATGTTTTTTTTTATTTAAATGGTAGCATGAAGTGATTTTTGTTTTCAAAAATATGATGTGTGCATAAAACAACAAATTAAATGAAAGGGTTGTATCAACATTTCAGATAGATGAGGATAAAATACTAACTTTAAAAAAAAAAACTTTTGAAAGGGTGTATGCATTGGAAAAGGTTTGTGATAATAGGTTTTAGTTAATTAAAGTCAGTTATGTGGCAAATGTAAAAATTCTTTGAATGGGTTAAGCATTGTGAATGCCCTAAGGAAGGTGACAAATAAACTGAAAAAAAAAATCTCAAAAACTTGAAACATGTGTATATGAAATGACATTAGGAGAGTAAGAACTCACATTCTCCATCATATTCCTTTGCGATTCTGAGGGCTTTAGCAGATGCAACTTCAGGTGCCTGGGCAGCAGGTATTACAACCAATAGAATCGCATCATTGTGCTGAGCATATTCACTCTGCAAGAATACTAGGTTATTAGATCTCATTCAAAAAAAGTATTACAAAAAACATGATGATTGCAAGAGATTAATAAAATACTGAAAGTCTGAAACAAAAAAATAAATAAAATAAAAAATTGACAGCAACGCACCAATGAATCATCAAGATTCCCTTTCTCAACACCAGGCAAATCAATCAATTTCAGAGGAGGAGCTACAAATCAATAAGATTCTGTTAGGGGAAATCACAGAAAAGAGAACATACAAATTTATTTTTTAATGGTACTTTTTAGCTCAAAGAAAAAGCTGAAGATGAATATGTATTGTAAATGAGATGGAAAACAAGACCTATTATAGTTGTTTCAATATGGTGAACAAATTATATAAAATATAAAGTTATCAAAATATGACATATACAATGAACAGATTATATCAAGTACTCCAAATATGATGAGGATATGAACTGCAAATTCAACAAATAAATGGGTTAAAAAAAATAGACTGATTTTTAGGAGAATGCACAGTGTTCCTCTATTTAACAGGTAACACCATATCATCAAGTAATTAGCAATGAAAGAACTTACCATGATCAATCATATCATCTATGTCAAGATACATTTGTTTAAATTTACAATTTTATATCACTAGAATTCCTACATTTAGAGGGTTACTACACCATTAGATATGTCCACCAAAGATCTATTTCCATAACGCAATCACAAGGCTAAGTAGCAAATAAATGCAAACAATGTCAGAGTACTTAACAAAGCAAAATATTAATCTTTATAAGTTAAAATTTTGTTCGCTTTAGAGAGAAAAAAAAAAACATTTTCAAACTAACCTGTACTCGTTTTAAGCTTCAAATATATTTCATCACGACTCTTGCTTGATATCTTACTAAGTCTATCCTGTAAAGAATGGCGCAGAGCACCTGCAATGGGACAAAAAGAGAGGATTTAAAATTAGTGTAAAAGGAATACCAATTCATGAACTTATAGGAAATACAATTCTTATGAAGCTCCTTTCCTATAAATCCAACAGCCTTAAAGCAATAAAAAAGGATTTGAAATTAGGGCTCACTTGCAGACACTGGTTGGGATTTACTATCGATCTGCAGTACAATTGACTTGTTGCTTAAGTTTTCATCTCTCTTTAAGTCGATGCATATAGGTGCACGAGTTGCACCACCTTCACCAGTGGGCTGTATAACAAGTAAAGATTAGAAAGTAATTGTTGACATAATACAATTCAAGTTGTAAATAATAACATTTGAGATAATACAAATATTAGAAAGTAAATAAAAAAGGGAAGACGAAAGTTCTTACTAAAGCAGGATGTCCGATCAAACTGTTCAAAACCGCTGATTTACCTGCACCCTGAACAAAGTTTAGTCAATGATTAGAAACTAGTCAGGATTAGAGTTAAACGTTTATGAAAATGGCACTCCACTTTATATGATTCAAAAGGAATCCTTCAATTACTTCAGATATTTTTAGTGTGAATCCAGACAAAGAGTTAAGGGTTCTTCAATAGAAGATGCATATGATTCTTTTGTTGAAACAAGAACAATTTGTTTAATTACAGATTTCCAAGAATCTGGGAAAAGAAATAAATTGACCATTTATGTACTCTAATGCAATACGTGTACAGGTAATTTAACGTCCAGTACAATATATTCCAGATAAAATCTTAATGATGTTTGAATTTTAATTGATTTGAATGAGAGGTTTGACAAATAGATTCCAAATTGGAGTATCATTTTTCTTTTTGAATGAGAGATCCTAGAGGATATATTATTGAAACATCAACACCATTGAAAACACCTAATATATTTTATTTATTTTTCAATTAACATGGCATGGTTCTTGCCACTCTTATTTTCAATTTGCTCAACACCTTCATAAAGAACACAGACAAAAATGGGACAAAAAGGGATGATGATGATGGCAAGCACACCGAAGACACTAAAGAAAACTGATCAACAAAATCATACCACAAACATGGATCATGATGCAGATGCAGGTAGTTAAATCAGGTATGCTGGAATAAATTCTTCAACCAAGCAGAAGTCTATTTTGATCTCCACTTGATTCGTAAGTTCACTATCAGACTAAAGAACCAACAATAAGAAACTACATAACGAGTTTGTCAAATGGGTGACCATATCATCAGGCTTTTCCATTTCCAAAATTCCTTGCAGATTGTTTAAGCTTAAAAGATTAGGCATTAGCCTCCAAAACAAACCTTCCCATTAAGATTCATGAAAACAGAATATCTAAGATAGCTTAGTGAACACCTAACTTGGATCAATACCCTGCGCCTATAATGCATCCACTTTCATGAATACAAGTGTCTTGCGTTATCTAATGTATACTCCATCATAACCCAAAATCAACTTCAATGGATATGTGGACATGTACCAATGGAGAAGATAGCCTCAACAATTGGAATACACAAAAGCTGCTCCTAATTGGTTTCTCGTGCTACATAAATTTGAACAAAAATGATGGCCAACTGGGGAGCAACAAAAAAATTGTTCCAAGCGAGCCTAAATCGTTAAAGTATAGTGCAAATCCAGACTATATACTAAAGTAGGCAGCTGGTAAAAAAAATCTGTAATAACTACCGTCTACCGACCAACATGCCAAACCCAACTGGGAGGAGCCAGGGTTCAGAAATGATTTCCAATTACATCAACCTACCATGGATAGAATTGGGGATCTTAACACAATCAGATCACAGATCCATGCCGTGAATCGATCAACACAATTAAACAACTACCAACTGTTCAGAACTCAAAAGAGAAAAACCTTGGGTTTTGCAGGGATTCAATCATAATTCTCCTACAAAATGAACTTACCGTATTGCCAAGAGCAACAACGTTTAGAAATGTGGAACCACGCCTTGAGGACGACGAAGAATTTTCGTCAACATCTTCATCATTAAGTAAAGCCGCCGCCTGCCGCATCGAATCCGACAGCTGAACCAATTCTTCGATCGCTTCCATTTTTGATCTATCAAGTCTAACAAGCTAAATTCTGGAAGAGATCGAAGCCAAGTAAAAGTAGAACCGAGTAGATAAAGCAGTCCAACAGAGAATCTGGAGGTGGTGGGAAGAAAAAAGTTGTAAAAAAGTGTGCAAAACCCTAGATAGTCGATCGAGAAGAATGATAGATCCAACAATCAGTGATGATTTTTCTAGGGTTTCAGTTGAGATTTGAAAAAGGAGAAGAGGTTGTGAAGAAGGATGAGAGAGAGGAGGATGCAAATTGGTAAAAACAGAGGAAGGACACGATCTGCCCTTTTTGATTGCAGTTTTGTACCATCCAAATTACAAATTAGTTGGAGTTTCTTTACACTTTTTGGCACCGGATTTTTGCTAATTTTCATTTCTTACCTTTTCTTTCCAAAAAAATGTAGGTATTAACTTCATTGGAATGATATACATTTAATTTTATTCCACTTTAATTTTTTACTTTATGATGGATTTAAATTATCTCCGACTCTATATCTTATTTCTAACTCCATTTTGGACTAAAAATTAGTAATACTCCAAGATCAAACATGAAATTATATTATCGATTTCTACTTTGTTTTATTTAACCAACTATGATTTAAATGATATTGAAAGAAAATGTTTATCGTATTAGGGTTCAGCGCTCTAGCAGCCAAGTAGGGATGGAAATGGGGTGGGTTTGGGGCGAGGGTGACCATCCTTGTCCCCATCCCCGAGTGTCTAACCTCGTCCCCATCCTCATCCACATCATCGACGGATGCGGGGAGTCGAATCTCATCCCCTTTGTATTTTGGGCTTTTCTCCAGCCCATTCCCGGCCCATCCCCAACTCATCCCCAATCTATCAACATAATAAACATAACTTACAAAAAAAAACCAAGTTTAATAAGTGATCAAAACCATATGCCATAATCAGATTATGTTTACATCCATCATAAAATTTAACAAGCATCAAAACAAAAAGTGACGATTTGGTATAGAGATCGTTGAACAAAGTGAAGATTGATGAACCGGTTGAATTGGGAACATAATTTGGTATATGGACTCTATCTTTGATGGTCTAATATAAATCAATTCATTTTTGTGGACTTAATTCAAATTCTATAAATGATTGATATATATATATATATATATATATATATATATATATATATATATATATATATATATATAGTCATCAAAGAGGGGACGGGGCGGGTTGGGGATTGTTATACTTGGTCCCGGCCCCATCCCCGATTTTAGCATAATGGGGATCCCGGCCCCGTACCCGGTACCCGTTTTGGCGGGGAATACCCGTCCCCGATTGGGGCGGGTCAACCGGGTTCCCCACCGGGTCGGGTGAAATTCCCATCCCTATAGCCAAGTTGGAATATAAATCGGGGCTATTACGTGTGACTGTGTTTCATCGCCCTATGACAAAATGCTCTGAGATAACAATGCAAAAATGAGAACATGCGATGACGACAATAGTGGTGACATACAAGGATCTAACCTTTACCGATCATAGTGTAGTTTGTTCAACCTCCTACATATGGATTCTCAGGTATAGGCATGTATATTAGTTTCTTCACCTCTATTTAGCGTTGGTTCCAAGATTAGGCAAAGATCAGAGTAGTGTTATATAGTGTTGGTTCTAAGATTAGGCAAAGATCAGAGACTAAACACGATTCTTTAAAGGTTTTTCTTTCTATCCTAGCTAAGAAGAGTATCGCTCAAGGGCGGTGACGAAATGATACTTATCTATTTAAAATTTCGAGTCCCTTATAAAATTTAAAATTTATTATTTATGTATATATATATATATATATATATATATAACTAATAAGTTGCAAGGTCTTTTTGACAATCTTTATAAGTTAAATAAAATATCTTGGTACTTTTCGGAGTAAAATATGAAGTTAAAATTGAAATTAGATTGGAAATAAAATATTATTTGCTACATTTTTACTCCATTATGGAGTATCAAAATGGAGATGGGTTAGAGAAGATATTAATACTACATCACAACAGTATATATTTTTAAAATTTTTCAAAACTATGAAAATGATCCGTATGTAATAATAAAATTACAAAAAATTATCTGAAAAATAAAATTTACAAAAATGCTCCCTATTTGATAGTAAATTTACATACATGGCTCTTTGTGTAATAGTGTAAAACAAATTATAGAAATAGTCATTAAGACCGTAGAAATAGTCCAATGTGTCGACTAAATGCAAATATTATGACAATGGTCCGTATGTTTTTAATTTGCATAATTACATAAATAGTCTTTGTGAAATAGCATGAATTGTAAAAATTATAGAAATGATCAGTATGTAATAGTAAAATAATAGAAATTGCCCATATATAATAGTATAAAACAAAATTACAAAAATGGTTCTTGTTTAATGGTAAAAATGTAGAAGGGTCCATGTGTTTTTACATTTGCAAGAAATAACCTTTTTGTTATTACCTTAACCACACAACATCATTAAATCTACCTTTGTCCCAAAATGTATAGAATAACAATGTACTTTGGATTTCTTCCCCATTTCATACAATTTGATCATTTCCACACAAGTTTTTTTTTTTGGAACAGAACGCTTAACTACAGAGTTTCTGATGGGATCCGGTGCATTAAATTTAAAAACAAGTTAATCAGTATTATAGATTTAAATTGTATTTCATGGTTAACACATATTGTATCCTACTTAAAATTTTGACCCAAAGTACATTTTCCTCACATGTTTAATCATTCTCATTTTGGCGTTATACTTTAAGATTTGTTTCTATTAGTATCTTTTAAATGCCTAACCGGCCCAACTCAAACTAATGTTTTAAGTTTAGTTGGGGCATAAACATACTTTTAACATGAAATTTCATCACAATCTCACTATTAGTTAATATATGTGTTATAAGAATGAATATTTATTTCTTAGTTGACGACAACTCACATAAAAGATTAGTAGTTGGAACACCTCCATCTAAGTTTTTGACTAACTAAGAACTATTTACTCATTTCAGGATCTATATAGTATTGGTACTTACATCGTCAAGATAAAACTCCTCTTATTCTTCTTATTTGCATCCATCTAAAGTTGTGGGGGCCTCCATGCACCACATTGTCCATTCATGCTCACTTTATATGTTTGTAGACTTCTAACAATAGCATCCATGCAAACAATTATTGTGTTTGCCTTCTTTATTTGATTGCAAAATTCTAGTAATAATCATGATACCCCATGTTGGATGAAGGAAAGCGAATTTAAAACTCATCCACACAAACACATAAAGTGTTTTCAAGCCTTCCAACAGTGAGAATCCTTCGATGTCTGTATTTTAGATTATTTAGCATGATACAATATTGGTTCAAAACACAAATGCTTTTTTATTGCCCATTTTATGAAATATATGGATATTGGACTATGTATATAGGAATTGAGAAATATGAATTTTTGTATTATTATTATTATTTAATAAATTTGAACATCTATTAAACTAATAAAAAAATAGATAAAAGAAATTTACAATCCTCTACTAGGTTGACACGTGGACAAATTGTGGGTCGTGACCTCATGGTCTTAAGGAACTTTGTTTTACAAATATAACAAATAATTATCCTATATTACAAATATAGATATAGAACTCTTATTTGTATGCTACATATTGTGAAACCATATCGGAGTTTGGGATTGCAGTTGAGTGAGATTTCAAAATGCATTTAGTCGTAAAGTGAATGAATGGGGTGTTTGACAAAACCTTATCACATCTACATATTCTCCTCAAGCTATAGCTCGCAAAATATGGCTCAACATTTATTCCCTCTTCTATGAGAATAAAGACTCAATTGTTATGCAATTGGAAACTGAGATTCAGAACATCTCCATGGGTGATTTATCTGTGCACGCGTACTGTGAAAAGGTGAAGAAATTAGCGGATTTATTGCAAGGTCTTGGTGAGCCGCTTAAAGAAAGAATTGTGGTCATGCATGCTCTAAATGGTCTTCCTAGCAAGTTTGGTAGTTTTGCTAATATCATTTGTTTTACCAAACCCTTTCCCCCACTCTTGGAGATGCGATCTATGCTTTAAATGGATGAAACCCGCCTTGGTAACACTCAACTCACCAACTCGTCTCTTGACCATCATTCCTTGTCCCCCTATCTTCTCCATGTCGGGACCTCTAACTTCACTCAATTTTTTTAGGGGGGGGGGGATCTCACTGTGACAATTATTCAAATTGAGGAGGTGGTGGCAACTACCACCGTCGCAACAACAACAATCGACAACAACAACAACCACCTAAGGGTGGTTCTTCATCTCGACCGCCACAACAACCCTACAACTTCTTTCCTTCTCCACAACCGATGCACCATTGGGTTGTTTCCTACTTGATCCAACAGTAGTGGTTTGGACAGCAACCACCAGCCTACACATCAGTGGGGGGAGACCCACTTCAGCCGGTCCAGGAATTTTAAGCAGCAGACCTGCCTTCTCCGCTCAACAACCCTTCATAGTAACATCAGCCCACATGCTCTCACACATGTGGTTGGTTCGGATCAGCAACCTTCATGGGCCTAACCATATGGTGATCAGCCCACCTTCCTTCCGACGCTCTCAAACACCATGACACTTAACGATCCAAGCACAAGTGGATGGGTCATGGACACCGGAGCAACTGACCACGTTCACATAGATGCATGTATACTCCAATCCTTTTGTAATAATCATTATCCTAGTCCAGTTTATGTTGGTAATGGATCTGCAATACCTATTGTGACATCGGGACATTCTCCATTTCCCATTCCTAATATTTATTGCTCTCTTTGCTTAAAGAATATTCTCATAGTCCCAAACATTATCAAAAACCTTATATATGTCCATAAATCTACTACTCAAAATAATTGCTCTTATTGACTTTGATCGTTATGGTTTTACTGTTTTTGATTATCAAACACGTCATCCTCTAATCCGATGTGATAACTCTGACTCTCTCTACCCAGTTACAAGCTCCACAATTCACACATTTCTCACTATCTCATCCAACATTTCACATCAACGACTCGGTCACCCAGGAGATCAAGTCTTAAAGCATTTATCTTCAAATAGTTCCATTTCAGGTCGTTTATCAAAAAAATAATGTAATTTATCAAGCTTGTCAACTTGGTAAACACACTAGAATTACGTTTTATTTGTCTAATTCTAATGTTTTTGCACCTTTTGAAATAATACATTTGACTTCCCCTATTTATAGTTATGGTGGTTTAAAATATTACATCTTGTTTCATGATCAATATACTCATTATTTATGGGTCT